TATCTCGAAAAAAAATGTATTAAAACTTATGTTAAATCACTTTAATAATTATGGGCACGTATATGACTTATGTTAAATCATTTTACTAATTATGATCACGTATATAACTTATGTTAAATCATTTTAATAATTATGATCACGTATATAACTTATGTTAAATCATTAAAATAATTATGATCACGTATATTATAACATATATTATATTACTTTAATAATTATTGATACATTTAATTATTATTTTAATTTATTTTTGTTTACTATTATATAATATTTTTTCTTTCTGAAATTCACAACCCACTAGCTATAACCTAGCCTAAGTTTATTTCTTTTTTCCTCTGTTGAGCTAACAACAACCCTCCTTTTAGACTATCACATACACATACACAAACACACCCTTGTCTTTATATATCTGTCTTTCTTTATTTCTCTATGAGAACATCTAGTACACCTGTGGTCTTTTCTACCCCACTCTATCTTTCTATCCCCCCCTCCCCCTACTCTCTATTTTCTACGAACTATGTTGGGTTTGTTTCAGTTCTCTCTCTCTCTCTCTCTCTTTCTTTCTTTCTCTCTTTTTCTGTCTCTTTCTATTTCTGTGCTATACTTTCAAGCTCTCAGCCAGTGCTTTGTAAAAGGATTCGTTCATGCGAACCCTTTTGTTACTTTTCAAGATACAATTATGCGAATATCTGTTGTAATATATTTACATATATATATGTATATATATATGTACATGTTTTAAGATAGATAAGTGAGTAGGTAAGTTGTAAGATAATACTTAAATACATATATGTGTGTATATGTATGCAATGTTACTGTTCTACACAATGTTTCATTTTTTATTAACATAATAAATGTCATCTATTGTATATAAGAACGTTCTTATAATATTCATTCATTATCTTTCACTAAAATTGCATTCAATTGTATTATGCTAATTTTATTGTTGCATACGTGAATACGTCAAAAAAAAATTCGAAAAATTCTAAATATCTTTATATACTCTTTCGTATAATATTTAAATAAACAAATACAATGTTTAAAATTATTAAAACATA